AAAAAAAAGTTCTTCAAAGTGTTTTGACCAATAAAATATAAGAAAAAATAGAAAAAATGTTTTTCTCTATACCAAACACGCCTATGGATCCACATGTCAAAATACTTTTTTGGAGAAATGTCTAAATTTATTCCCAGCCCCCCACCTCTTTTTTTAAAAAAAATTATTTAAAAATGTTCTCTATTATACACGTTGGAGCTCCACAAGGATAAATATCAAGAATATAAATGATGTGAAGGTACTACGATATAAATCTGTGAATTTAGAAATTCATCTTGGCCAATTGAAATATTTTTGAACGGTTTCTTTTTAAGAATAAAAAAGACTTGTATCAAAACAACATATGTCAAGAAGAACAAAAGTCCTTAACATATAGTAAAATTAAGATATTTCGTATAATATATGAACCCTCTTGAATTGTTTATTTTTAAGAATTAAAAAGATTTATATCAAAATAACAGATGTCAAGGAGAATAAAAATCTTTAACATATAATAAAATTAAAATATTTAGTATAATATATAAACCTTTTTAACCTCTTCCCTTTTAACTTTTTGACATAATGAGATAAAAGAATCATTATTGGTAGACAAAACTTTCTTCTTTTTCTTTAGCTTTTTGACTTGAATGACAAGATTATGAGAAGAATTTTAGTACCGTTTAAGGCTTTCATTGAGTGCACTCTTATTTGTTGTATTATTGCCTTTCTTTTTTGTAATAGTAGAACCAGAATTCTCTATAGTTGGAATTAAAATGTTTTCTCCTCCCTTTTGTACCTGCATTTAATATCGTAACAAGAAAAAGTGAATTTTGAATCTAACTCAATCTCAAATATTACAAGTATAAAGTGAGAGTGACTTTAATCTAACACATGTATTAAAGTCGAATTTCGACAAGAAAACAGAGTTTAAGGCTAACTTTAACTTTGAAATAGAGTTACTATTAACGTTTACTAGAGGTTCTATTCAAAGCTTATAACACTTTTTCATTCTGACCTTCAATCATCGGGCAAGTATCGGACTCTATATATTGTGTTACCACTTAGTAAAGTCGTATGTTTTTAATAAATAGTGGCTAACCCTTTCCGCTCTCCTATGAAGCAACTTCCAAAATCATTCTTGATGGAGAACAAACTAAACAAAGATAGATCTAGCTTGTAGGCTATGGATTGACGAGATATATATATTAAGAAACTCATCAAACATCTATAAATATAGACGGTCTACTCAATTATTACTGTATTATTAGCTTAAAGACGCTATAAGAACTCATAAACTTTACATTTTGGTTCAGCCTATGACATATTTGATCCAAAAGGTCCCTAAGCATAATACTTCGATTTGGGTACTTAAAAGATCCTTGGAGTAAAAAAACACCCCACCGAAAATAATGGTAGGAAGGCAAGTATGTCTATATATATATATGAGAATGTCTAACAAACAATTCTTCAAAGACCATATAAAGACCCAACAACGGATTCCTCGCCCATAGACACATCTTAACAAATAAAAGACAACGCAACAGCAACAAATTCAATGTAATATATCACAACACTATAAGAAAAGTATAAATTACATGGAGATTTTTCTGGGGATTAGTATGAAAATCTGTAGGAAACTTATTTTTCTGCAAATTTTCATATTAATCCCCAGGAAAATCCCGATGTGATTCACACTTTTCTTATAGTGCAAGTGGAGTTTGTGGAGAGATTGGTAGAGTGTACTCAGACCTTACCCCATCTTTAAGAAGGTGAAGAGGTTATTTCTGGTAGACCCTCAGCTCAAAGGAAGATGTAAGTGAAAGCAGAACCAACAACAAAATAGTATAATAATCGAGTCTAAACAAACAACAAATAGTAATAAAAATCTAAGAATACAAAACTAAGAAGGTTATAAATAGATACACAAACCTGATTAGTATAAGCATTGCTACATTTGAAAATCCCTTTAACAATTTGACCTGTTCCTTCAGCAATTGCTTTAGCCAAAACATGATTATAATCTTCAATTCTTGGAGCAAATTCTTTCCAATCAATATCACTTTTCCTGATTAAAGATTTTGATGAACAAGTGAACATAGCATTTTTTTTAAGAAATTCATCTAAAACTCCAAGATTTCCACTACCCTTTTCTAAAAATGTCACACCATAACTTAAAGGATGCCCATTTTTAATAGGCAAAGTGAACAAATAATGTAAAGAATCAAGCTTTACTACTGGTTCATCTTTTGTAAGTGGCCATTGAAGTTCATCACCAACTTTTATGATTGTAGCTACACAAACATCTTCTTCAAATATCGAAAAAATTGTGAAAAATCCATTGGAAAGTTCTAGAGTTTCCCCTTCATCCATTAGATGAACTTTGCATGATGGAATGTTTAAAAGAACTTCATGTTTGATGTTCTTGATTTCTTGTGTTTGTATTTGTGATGGTGTTTTGGCTATAGGGAAACTTTTGGATTTCTTTGTCTTAAAGAAACTCATTTTCTTTCTTTGTTTGTAGCTTGGAAGAACTTTGAGATATAAAAAGGAACGGGAAAGGGGGGGAAATATTCTTCTAAATATTTTAATTAAGTTTAAGTAATATACGCCGACATTGTTGATAATTTTTATATTATCATATCAGTTGTCATGTTTTGTAATGTTCAATTGTCATAGCAGGTAACCTGTCTTATTTTCAAGATTACAAATCTCATATTTTAAGCTGGTTTATAGTGTACCTATAAATATCGATTTAAATCGATGAAAAATTGTTTATTTCGACGATATACCTAACTTAAACTCATTTTAAATTTCACTTAAGTTATACTTTAGGTGTACTTAGCTTTAGCAAATCGTCACATACTTGTATCCTTGACCCTTATGGAGCTTCAATGAAGTATAATATATGATAATTTTAAAGCATAACTAAAAGTAAACTTATAAATTTTAAATTATTTCAAAAGTATTTTGACACGTGAAATTTATCTGATTTATTTTAAAATTTTATTAAAGTCGAGAATAAATATGGGAAGACTTTTTTTTAATTTCTTTCGAAAAGAAGGATGATGGATTTAAAGGGAATATAAAGATGCAAAGGAGATGGCTAATAGAGAAAGTTTAGTACTTTAATTGATTCTATATATTGTTTTTATTGGTACTTATTCTATTCTTCAAAGAGAAGTTGTTATTTAGGTATCATTACTTATGGTGGCTAAAAATTCAAATCTTAATAAACAGGGTTGAAGGCTATGCAAATGAGCACTAAGAATTATGTAACAATCACATTTATTTATTATTATTAATTATTTCGTGTTTGATATCTACTGACTCAACTAATTTAAATTCGCGTTATATAAAGCTTATTAAACTATAATTTATTCCATTACATTTCTTTGTCCGGAGTGAAATAACATAATTTTAATATTTTTGTTGAAAAAAACGATTGAGAATCACATTAGGATTACGAGATTGGAGTTGAAAATTTTACGTCTGAAAGTTCAACTTTCAGACATATGAGAGTCGATATTTGGCATATTATTTGCTTAAACAAATTTCAGACATTTTTATATGGAGTTTGATTTGACAATCTCAAGCTTTAGACATTTTCTTATGAAATCTAACTACATATGCTAATACTTAAAACTCTTCAATTTGGTCGCGGTACCTTCATTTTATTTCTTTTACAACCAAAATTAAATATTGATAAAACATTAAGTATTGGTCCATTAGAACCAAAATTAAATATTGCTTACGCAAAATGTTTGACTAGTTTTTAGGGGGGAAAATACTTTTACACTCTGTTTGGATCATTGCTACCCATTGTATTGTATTGTATCGTATCGTTACTATACCTACAATGTTTGTTTTGGTTGTTACTTAAAATGTATTGTATTGTATTGTTAAATTTCGTTGTTATGCAACAATGAAAACTCCTATTTTATGGAACAACCGATTTGATGTGTTCCCATTGTTACTTAATATCTTTTTCCAATTATATCTTTACATAATATTTCAAAATACTATTTACCCTTTACCTTATATTATTTAATTCTAGTCAAAAACCTCCTACCCTAGAATAATTAAGGATATTTTAGTAAATTTATAAATTACAATACAGCACGATACAATCAAACCAAACAATTAAAATGTTATTAAACAACAACAAACAATATAGTCTAACCAAACATTGTATCTACCATACAATAGAGTACAATACAATACAATACATTATAAAACAATGGGTAACAATGATCCAAACAGAGTGTTTTAAAAGTCAAATTACGAAAAATGGATAAATATCAATGCACTTCTAATATTAAAGATTATTTAAAATACTTATTATAAAATTTATAATTAATTTTTTATTTTATTAAATTAAAATATACATATTCAACTTTTCTATCAATATTATACATAGATGAATAAAGAATAAATTAAATATTGATAAAACATTAACATAACGATTATATAATAAAAAATATCAAGGAAAATAAACTTAAAAACAATTTAACAAAATTAAATCAATGCATACAAAAAAAACTCATTACAATAATAAATAAATATAAAAAATATATTAATAAATATGTATATATATGACAGAGATATTTTGGTCTTGAAATAAATAATTTTCTGTTTTTACTTCTCTTTTTTTTTTTAAAACCAAAAATTGTTTTTTTTACATTTGAAAGTTGAAACTGACTCTAACAATATAATACAATAGAATGAGTGGCAACATCCAAACAAGGTGTAAAGGTATTTTTGTTAATATGGGGATTTTCACCATTAATATATTTTACATCGCTTAATCTTGTCTCTTGCTCGAATTTGATTTTTTTTTTCTTTTTTGCATCTTCGGTATGTTTTCGTATTTGAGCTAACTCAATTTGGGGCTTTAGGGTTAAGCCGCCATTGATGATATTTTGTAACTATATATGTGTTGTAATTTCTAATTGGTTTGCTCATTTGTTCAACTATAACTATATATGTGCTCTAATTTCTAGTTGTTTTGCTCATTTGTTCAACTACAGAGCTAAAATTTGAGATATGGAGGCTATTTTGGCGACAGTATTGTTGGGTGTCTTGCTAGCTGTGTTCATTGTGATATTTCGACTGCGGAGTAAATCTGGTAAGCTTTTTAGCTGATTCTGTATAGGTTTTGTTAGAGCGGGGAATAGACGGGTGGTTTGCTAATATAAATTTGCATTTTTGTCGTGAGCTGGTTTTTGGAGTTGAGTTAGACTTAAATGTCATATCTTTACATAGTATCACAGTCAGGTTCATGTTCATCATGTTTGGGGCGCTTCTTATGAGTGTAAAGGGATGTTAGAGTGGGTTAGAGTCCTACATTAGTTGGGAATGGATGTGGTTTGTTTATGTGGATTTGGGCAATCATTTTCTCATGAGTCAGCTTTTGAAGTTGAGTTAGGCTTAAATGTTATATCTTTATATAGTGTTAGGGTCAAGTCTATCCCCGATTGGGATCTAGGTTCACGCTCTAGTTGGGTCTAGGTGTAAATGGATGTTTGAGTGGATTAGATTCCCCATTTGGTAGGGAAATGGACGGGTGGTTTACTTATATGTGACTTGGGCAATTGTCCTTTCATGAGTTATCTTTTGGGATTGAGTCAGGTTTAAGTGTCATATCTTTATAGGTTTCAAGTTTGTAATGTTCTTATGCTCAGAAAGAATTTGATGTTTGATTATTTTCGTTTGTGTTCTACCACAGTTCAGCCGAAAAGAAAGGTTGCCTCAAATGCTCAGAACAAGGTACTTTAACTTACAGTCATATCACATATAATCTTTTTGGTTGTTTGAATAGGCCCTTGATAAGTTACTTTTGTTGTTAAATTCTAGACCTTTCATTTCAGTTGTTCACTTAATAACTATGCTTGTCAAGATAATAGTTTTAGTCGTTCTTACTGTAGGTAAAACAAATTCCATCTTGGTTCCAACTCAACTCCACAAAGCCTACACAAGTTGTCAAGATTTCCCAAAACCATATAAGGAAACTACAACTCATATACTACGTGGGATTTTAATACTGCCGGTAGGCTGAGGGTTGGACATCTAGAGGCTAGAGCATAGAGCATAGAGTATGATGATATGGATGGCTCAACTGGGTAGCTGAACACTAGGGAATAGGGATACTTCTATCTCTAATACCATGTTAAGAAAATGGACCTTGGCCTAACTTGAAGTTAGCTCAAGTTATAAGGATTACTCAAGATCATATAAGGAGACTACAACCCATACAATTAATTAACTGATATGAGCATTTGGAGAAGACAAAGAAGCAGAAACTTACTGTCAATGGTTTGATATCTCAGATTTCTCCCGGTTTTTTGTAAAACACATGGATATATTAGTTTACTTTGTTGATTACTCCTCGTGTATTAGATTTATCTCTTTATAGATGATAGGTGATGCCCTGCTTGAACTATTCTTATTCTTAAACCTTGTTTGTAGGGGGGGGGGGGGGGGCTATCCGAATCAAGCCTCTATTTCTGAGGTAGGGGTAAGGTTTGTGTGCACTCTGTCCCCTCCCATGTGGTGGCCGGGTGGGGTGAGGGGATGGTGGAATGTGTCTATGAAAGAAGGATAAACCTTAAAGGAAGGGAAGTCCTTTGAGAACAATAAATTGTGTGTTGGTGTTTAAAGCAATTGACAAGTCTTGCATCTATCGTAGTCATTTCTTGCAAGCGAATTATTTTGCTAGATAACTGCACAAAGCTTCATAACTGACCGATTTGATAATTTTCTTTTCTTGTGCATATTGTTGTGCACCAGCAGTTGTACAATCGCTTTCTCGTCTTTATATTTTCCGTATGTTCTGTGATTGTGTGATTGTGCTGATTCCTTTTCTTTCTTTTGGGATGTGTTCTTTTAAACTGAAGGCAGTCAAATCATATAGCAAAGCTGAAGTTGCACGGCATAACAAGAGAACTGATTGCTGGATTATTATCAAAGATAAGGTTCTTTTTGATTCTCTACTTGACCACATAAACCATTCCTTACACTTGTGGAATATTAACCTTTTCTGGTCACATTCCTTTCGTAATATATACTCTATTCTGCGCTTTTTTCTGTCTTTAGGTGTTTGATGTTACCTCGTATGTCGAAGAACACCCAGGGGGTAATGCCATCCTAGATCATGCTGGTGATGATTCAACTGAAGGTTTCTATGGGTAAGCCTTTGTCAAATATATCCTTCTTCCACTAATTCAGTTAACAACAACAGTGTAATCCTAGAAGTGGGGTCTGATGAGGCTAAGATGTATGCAGACGTTACCACTTACCCCTACCTTTGTGGGTAGAGAGGTTGTTTCCGATTGACCTCGGCTCGATCTTCCACTAATTCAGTTACAGTAGGAAAAAAACCTCTGAGGAGAAAAATGTTTACAAAACAATATCCACATGTGTCTGTTTGCTCTAGCATCCCTCCGATAATCCCTTATGGCTTGACACCAAGTGATTTTCCAACAAGTCCATATCCTTACAATCTTCCGGGAAAATTTATTTTCTTTTCCCAGAGATAAGAGACTTAAAAGTAGCCTCTTAACTATGTAATCACTGATCATACTTGCTCCTATTCCATTTGTGGTTCTGTGTTTTGATTGCCTTATTTCATCAAAGTTTCATTGTTTGCTGTTGTATTAACCATTCAAATCGCGGTCACATTCTTGTTGCAGGCCGCAACATGCTACGCGAGTATTTGAGATGATTGATGACTTCTGCATCGGTGATCTAGAAATATAAATGATTACTTCCATCAATTGATTTGTAACGAATTGTTCATGTGATGTAAAAATTCTAGGAGCTTGCCTATCTCATAATAAAGCATCACTTGTATCTCCGACAACCTATTGCTTCCCAAAAATTTGTTATTTCAAATTATTGATGATATAATCCATCTTCCAAAGGGAAAAGGTATTCTCTTTACTTTTTATTTTATGCCATATTTAATAAATTTATTTTTGGGTCTTTCTTAGAATAGAATTAACTAACTCTTTACTTATTTAAATCGAGTTCCTAAGTCGAATTGGTTTAGAATTTTTGCTTCTCAACTCTTATAAACACGTAAGATTGTTTGAGACCACTTCCTATTTTCAGCTTCTTTTTTTTTACTCTTAATCAAAGGTTTCGAATCACAACATCTATTTTCATATATCATCAACCGCTGCACCATTACTACCTACACCTACAACCCTTTGCTCTCATATCGAGTTGAAAATAAAAAAAATAAAATTATATGGATATTATTTTGAATCACAGTCGTTCCTCTTCAGATGTTTGTGTAGTATTTAGTCAAATAAAAACACCACAAGAAGAATTAAACATTAGTAAAGATAGCAAAATTTCTTCTTCTTTACCACTTTTATCTATTCGATTTCACCTTGATACACATGAACTATATTGGTATAAACCTCCCAATGAACCTAAACAGTACCAATATTATCGACATACTCGTTCTGATTCACTTCATCTTGAATATTATCATTCTATATACATGTCATACAACTTGTTCTACCATGCTTTGCAAGAAAATATGGAGGATTTGGGAGAGGAGTTTGAAGATAATTATCGTAGTGATATCATCCATGCTGTGATAGACAAAATATTTGGCATTGTTGTTGATGAGTCTAACCATGGACGTGAAAAGGTGGAGGTGTTCGTTGGTATAATGTTCTTCGTCGAACGTTTTGTTGATAAAAATAATTTGAGCGATGATTGTGTGATTTGTTTTGAAGAGCTTGGGAAGGAGGGAAAGGTGATGTGCACACCTTGTTCACATGTGTTTCACGAGGATTGTATTGCAAAATGGTTAGAGAATGGCAATTCTTGTCCTATTTGTCGTCATGATCTCCCAGATATCTAACTATTTTAGTTGCTCAATTAATTGGTTACCTGAACTCTCGATTTCTCATTTTGTAATCTCCTCCCCGTTTTCTCTTTTTCCCACCCCAATTCTATGTTTGGTAGATACAAATAGTTGATAGGATATGTTCAATAGTTGAATTGAATATAACACTTTGAACAAATTGAGAATTCTAAGCTCACTGACATTATGCTTTTTCTTTTCATAATTATTTGAACAACGTTTTTTATTAGTTAAGGAATACCCATTTTCTTTGTACTAAAATTCCAACTTTAATAAAAAAAATATTGCTCAAGAGGATTATCGTTCACATTTAAATAATATAGAGAAATATTGAAAAGAAAAAATATAATCCATCTCAAAGGGAAAAGGTATTTGTTTTACTTTTTATTTTATTTTAGTAACTTATTTTGGGTCATTATTTAAACAGAATTAACTAAACCTTTCCTAATTAAATTCGAAGTTCCCAAGTCGAAACGGTTTAGAATTTGCTTCTCAACTCTTATAAATACATAAAGACCGTTTGAGACTATTATTATTTCCTTCTCAATCAGAAGTTTAGAATCACAATATTCGTTTATCATATATCATCAACTCCGCACCATTACCATAATTTACTACCTACAACTATCACTACCATCCAAAGATATATAAATATGGAAACTGTATTCTATTACAGTCTTCCCTCCTCAGACGCTTGCGTAGTATTTAGTCAAATAAAAACACCACAAGAAGACTAAACATTAATAAAGATAGCAATATTTCTTCTTGACCACTTTTATCATATGTTTTATCATAGGCGAAGTACGTGACATTTTTTATGATGAGTCTAACAAGGGACGTGAAAAAGTGGAGGTGTCCATTGATACAATATTCGTCGTTAAACGTTTTCTTGATAAAAGTATTTTGGGCGATGATTGTGTGATTTGTTTCGAAGAGCCTGGGAAGGAGAGAGCGGTGATGTGCACACCATATGTACCTAAAGGTTCGCAAAAATAGCTACACTTCAACCATATGTACCTAAAGTTCAAACAAAAATATCATCATTCCTCTCCCTTATGTTGGTAACATTTCAAAAACCAAAATTTCAAGGTCAAGTTAGAGTTTGTCAAGTCTAACTTCAGACGTTGTGTAATAAAACTAGTTCCGAAGTGAATAGATATGCAAAATTTATTTTAAAAAATAACATTAGAACTAGAAAATTCAGCACAACTTGCACTAGAATGAGAAGAATAAAGTGATAAAATTTAATACTGAGAAACAACATAACCTTACACTTGTTATCTATTGGTCAGCCACCACCCAAAATACAATCTTAAACTAACTTTGAAATGGACATTAATTTTTTACAAATAAACATTACAATTACAAAAACCAGCCCAAAAGCATGGTAGACCTTAGTGAGAAGAATGAAGTGATGAATTTAATAGCCAGAAACAATAACCCTTACAACTTACAACCTATATCAATGATGTACCCCTTAAGATCAGAAGGGATAAAAAAGCCCCAAAAAAAAAAATGGTCAAGCAAATCCTTGGTCACTAATACCAAGGGAGCAAAAGAATCACATAATTTACCACTGATTGGATATTATCTAAATGTTATATTTCTTTGGTTGTCTCCATTGAGCTAAAGTTCTGGACAATGTACTAATAATAGCAACCTTAGGTATTGATCCTTGTTTTCCAAGCAAATCTTTTCCAGCCAAATCTGTAATTTTAGGAACCAAATGCTTGTGTCTGTCAATCTGCAAAAGAAAAAAAGGGAGAGATGATGATTTATGTTGTTGTTATTCACGACGTGTTTAATTTTCTTCACTAGACAATTCAGTATAATCATGAGATACTAGACCAAGGACAATGGGAGTTTGGAATGTTGTTATATGACTCAACATCCTACCTTACACTTGTAACATGATTTTGGGGTTTACACTCGAATTTTTAATACATGTAAGTGCAAGACTAAGACTGGATATGAAACCGTCTGGAAGTAATTTGAGTATCTAAAGTGTTCCGTTTCAACACAGTAGAAAACATTTCTCTTTGCTACATCTGGCTTTTCTTTGAAGTAATTAGTCTGAGGGATAAAGAGCACTCCGAATCCTAGAACAACCAGATTTATATGAAAGATTATAATGTTGCTCTGAAAGCAGAAGGGTGCCCTAGGAAGGGATACCTTGCATATCTTCCCATCTTTCAAATGATATCGAATGCCAGACCAGTTGATGGACTGAGAAAGATGAGAACGCATTGCAGATAGTGGGTATAAAAAATTGTCAACCAGCATTGCAATGAATACCTGCTCAAGTAAGACATCAAACAATTAAACATTAGTGACTTGTATTGTGATAAAAAACTAAAAGCAAACAGGACCATACAGGATTTTCATACTGAAATCTTGATTATTTTAAACCACATTGGTACAACGCTTATTCCTCAATTCTGAACTAGTCAGGCTTGACTATATGAATACTTTGTTTTCCAGTATATAACAAACAAATAAAATTCTTGGGCAATACATTTTAACCACTTGTGATTATCTAATTCAAGTGCAATGTACCTACATTTTAATTTTATATTTGTTGGCAAGACTATGTTCAGCAGAAATCTTGTAGTCAATGAAAAATATCAAACCTTCAAAGGTAAGTGGGAAGAAACGGAAATAAACTGTTTGGTTTATAGGCGAAGTCTGAATGAACTTACAAGACACCAGTTATAAGAAGCAAGTGACAGTTGAGGTGCCTCGGGAGACAACATATTGCACAAGTGAACTTCAATTCTTGTCAAGTTCCACATGGAAAGGAGTTCAATCACTGTGCATACGGCAAGGCATGCAACAAGTAACAACCCTGACAAAGTACAAAAAATATGTGCATCTAAGAGGAAGAAATATGCAACCAAAGAAGTAATAACTGGAAACCGCGTGACCCGTTCCCAAATAAAAAAATATTAGTTTTACTGTAGCATAAACAGATTATTTTTTCAGAGAAGAGGAATACATTAAATTAATAATAGGATAGACAGATTTTCAAGAACAACTATGAGCTACTTAACATTTCATGTAGCACCTCCAACCCAAACAAAGATATAGTAATTCCAATTACTGGGGAATAGTATACTGGTATATAACCAGTCGAATATCAAGATTGAGAATGATATCAGAATTATACTAAAATAATGAGGACATGAAAAGGTTTCCAGCATGTAATAGTTCTGGGAAAAGGAAAAACATGTGACCGAAATGGCTACCACGACGCACTCTACTTCTACTTACACAAAAGAAATGTGCTCACCATTACATGTCATGACTGTCCCCTCAAGAGAGTTTTCTTTAAGATAATGTCTCAGTGCTGCTGCCACATGAATCCCTGCCATGACGTATGGAGATACAAAACCCCAAGACAGATAGCAGTGGGATGTAAATAAAGCCCGATTCATGATCCAGTTAACCTTTGTTGTATATGATTCCAGTACAAATGTTTGCTTCCTCAAATAATTCCAATATCTACACATAAATACAAGTATAAGGTGAGCCAACAGCAAACAGTTATCACATGTATATCAATATTTCATAAAAGATTTTAATCTATTTTTCAGAAACCTAGGGAAGGTAAGATCAGTTGCAAGAGGGTGTGGAAAGACTGCAACCGGTGGTGATGTAATGAGCCTCTTGTGTGCACCTAGAAAAAGTAGCAAAAACCAAAGAAGAATTAAGAAATAATAGTTTCCACCAAAAAGAAAGATTGTGCAAAGAATCATATCTCACAACTAGTCCCTAGAGCACCTAAAGCTAAAAACAAGAAGTACCACAGCACCGCAGTGCCCGTGGTTATAAGAGGGCCAATATTCATCTCCAAGAGGGTTATAAAATCAACAGAAGTAGTTATACCAAAACAATCACTGC